GCTGTCGGCCCTCGATGACCCGAACACGAATCTGAACATTTGCAAGCAACGGTGAGGCAGCTGAACAAATAGTAACCCAATTTATCTAGATCGTTTTTTAAAAAGGTACCGTTGATTCACTTGGGTTGACAAATACCATTATTATTATTATATTCATTCAGTGCATACACATGGCATTTTATGGGAACAAAAATATGTTCCCAATCATACATGTGAAATTGCTTGCCCTGATGCAAAGTTAATGGAAGGATGTTGACATGTTAGCTATTCTCTATAATGATGGATAAATGTAATTTGGTGTATATTTGAACTGGTGAAGACTGCCACTTGGCATTTGTGATTATTCAGGAACAGAGTAATCAAAACTCAGACAATACCTGGAAGTCCTGGGGCTTATTGGCCAGGGCTCTATGCCTCTTACGCCTGAGACGGAGTGGCTTGTGGCTGGGTTTCCCAGGCTGGTTTGGAGAAGTGGGAGCTCCTGGACTTCCACCCTGACCATCTCCCTCCACATCTGCCTCACCCTCATCACCCTCATCACTGCCTCCTGTAGCGCAAATATCCACAACATTTTTTGAATAAACATCCCAAATAACATAAAACACCCTCTAACTGGAGAAAATCCTGAGTGTGTGTGATGTGTCCAAACAATATGGCAGACCCCTTTTTTGTATGTGTTTGAATCCACTAATCAGAGAGAATATACCCCAAACACCTTGTTTGTTTCTAATAGAGGACCACAAAACTCACAATCCTTACCAGTAATATTTGAAACCTTCTACTTATACCGATAACAGCAGCCAATAAGTGCATTGCACTTAGTTTGTAGTACAGTAATCCTCTTTCTGTATCAAAATGGTTCACTGAGTTGTTCCATATGGAAAGGTTATGTATAATTTAAGGAAAAACACCTAATTAATTTTACAAAGTTTGGTCTCCCTTGTTAGATTTTATGGGAAAACATAATCCAGTTGCTCAGAGGGTGTCTTTTGTGTTAAAACTATTTTTGTGTTTTTCTATTCCGTTTTATAGGTGTTGATTGATTAGTATAAGACTATTTATTTTTGTGTTTTTGTTTAGCTTATTAATATGACTTGAAACATTCTAAATATTTATATGAATTATTGTGAATTGTATTTGCATGTGATTGTATTAGTTTATTTTTGGGGGGGAGGGAATAAAAGATACTTTCAATTTCTGAGATTAACTGTCTACTTACCAGCATCCGTATGAGACAAGTCTCCATCATGTTGATCGTTTACGTTTGGAGTAGTGTTGGCAGGTTGGTCATACCCAATGAGCAAATTAATGGTTGCCTGAAAAAAGTGAATGTTTCTTAATAAGCATTATCAGCTCTACTTTATATGTCTATTGATATGTCATAGGATTCATCAAATTCAACTACTTCCTGCAGATCTATACAGATAAAAGGCATCATCATCTACTACCAGAGCTAAAGCTGCCTTACTGTCATAAAGCTGCAAAAGTGTCATATATATAAGTGCATGGAATCTGTTATTAACTTGATGTATTTACCCCAACAGCCTGTTGTTTCTCATTGAGCAGAGGTACATTCTTGGAAGGGATGGACCTCACTTGACCACTAGCCAAGTCTCTCAGAGATATTTTTGCAGAGCCAATGAGCCTGAAAAGCAATCACATACAATTTTCTTTGATCAGACAATGACACATACATCAGCGAATGCTTCATTGCAGCTGGAGGGAAAACAATTGTTCGTTTGAATAGATAACCAGGATGTATAGCTAAAAGAGACAATGGGGAGGTTGCTTCAGTTCCACAATCTGCGACAAGCCCATCGTATTACCACACGATGGGCTTGGACGCAGTGTTTATGGCTGTAATTGATCGTTGCTCTGGATAGTTGACGGTTCTCACTTCCTTAATTTCACTTCTTCACATATATTTATTACAAACCGAGCAACGGCACTTACACTGTTTCTTTTTCCACGAAACTGAAGTCAAGTGCGAACAGTGATTAATAACCACAATGGATTGCAACACATTGGGCATTTTCTGAAATCATCCCAAACCAAATATGTCTCTTGACTCTTGACCTCTAATAAATCTGTAATAATCACACAGTATCTGGGATGTGTTTTCCTAGTGACAAACATCCACACTGCATGGCTAATTCTGGCAAAAGAGACATTTGGAAGCAGCCGTACTATCTTGCAAGAGAAAAAATGGGATGTTTGCTGTGTGACAAGGACCAGCTGGTTCCACAGGCCAGCCACTAAAACCATGAAGAAGCAGAAAGATGGAAACAATTAACAACTACCACAGGCATGTGCTGAGTGCTCTGTGCCCAGTTTAAGCGTGGACGAATATAGAGCTAAGGAGGCTGGTGGACAACATGAGAACCAGCAAAAGCACATTCATGATTACACTCCGGCTCTCTTTTTCTTCTCTCTTTTTCTTTCTTCTTCAGAGCTTTAAAAAACTCAGAAAGCCGAAGGGTCAGCTGTGGAGGATAAGACAGACAGGAAATCTGGTATGGCAGTTTACTCTCTCTACCACTGTAGAGGCCACATGCAGGGACTGGTTTATACAGATTAATGTTTGTATACAAAAAAACAAAACTAAAACTAAAAGTATCAGGAACTGCTACACTGAAAAAAAAAGGAACAGACTTTTTGACCAGATGATGGTTTTCCTGGCATAGCTACTATATTTTCCACTATTTATTAACTTTTCAAACAAAGCTAATTTGGACTTTTAAAAAAAAGGTCTTTGCCAAACAAACTGAGCAGTCTGCACTGTCGGCTTATCTTGAGCGTACCACAGATTAGAGATCCCTTTTAGGCTCTCTGAGTCACATTCTTTTTCTAGATTTTCCTAGATTGTAGAAGTGATTGAGAGTCGCCTGCAAAAATCACATAAACACATTTCCCTCTGACTGAGTTACTCCTAGTCATCACAGATGTGCCAATGACAAGCCAGCGCAAGCTCTGTTATTCACCCGCCTCGTGTGTTGCAGGCAGTGATCATGGAAAAAATCTAAGTGCATTCGTGGCTGAGGCAGACAACGCTCCACCCTCACCCCACCCCCCCTTGTGTCTGCTTCAGAATAATTTATACTGTACACAATCGGTTACTAGAGTTACTCAGTGGAAATGTCATTATTTGGTCAACCTTCTTAGCCTGCTGAGCAGAAAGACAAAAGAATTAGTGTTGTCAAAATGCATGCATGTGCCTAACAAACAGCTAAACAAATGAAAATGAAGCAGAGTAATAAATAACATGTAGGAATCTGAGACTACAGTAGGGAAGGCCATAAGAAATTACTTCTTTTCCTTTTAAGGCAACATTTCTCGGAAGAAGTGGAGTGCTATTGTGAGAGAGACAAAGCACCTTCTTTATTGGCACTGCAAGTCTTAACATGAGCACGGTGAGTCCTGTGCTTAGTGAAGTTAAAACATGTTACTGTCCTCTGTAGATCAGAACTATTTTTCAACCACCCTGTTGGAAAAAATTGTTAAGAAATAAACACTGGACGTCCTCTCAGAACAAAAACCTTTCAGGGTACAGTGTGGTTTTCTCCTTTCAGTAATTACCTGCACAACTTAGACTTAACATGTGTGGGTTTGTGGGAAGTGAGGCAGGTTTCAACTACGTGTTTCAACTCTGAGACCCTCCTCCTCAATGGTACATCTATGTTTAAATGATCAGTAATTTGTCATGCTGGGAGGAAGGCTGGCTTAGGGCCAACTTCATATTTTCACAGAACATTTGCTAACAAAACTAACACAGTTTCTCCGACATGTACGATTTCTCTGTCTGATGCTTTCCATACACATACTTGTCTTTGCCGATTGTTTCATAGTCTTTCACAACCACGTTGATGAATGAAGACGCATCCAAGGAAGAGCCTTTTAGATCAAATTCAAGCACCTGCAATAACAAGAAAGAGACATTTATACCAACACACAGTAGTTTTAACTGGAGTAGAAGAATAAGCTCTAGGCTGAGTAATCATTTCCCATTTAGCAAAACCACATACTGTAATGTTCACACTTTACAGTTAACTTTAATATCCCCTGCTTACTTCATTCCACACAGGATTCAGTTCATTGTCAACTGCTTTGGTTTTCTTCTTTTCACCTGTAAGCACATTGAAGGCGAACCAGATTTATTGGCAAAAAAAACCCCAAAACAAAAAGAGAAAACCTTGCGCTACAATGTGGAAACAAACAAGCTTCTTCCAACAAAAAAGTAAATGACTGAATCAACAGTTTACAATCTGCTGGAAACAGAGAAATAATGTACTAATGCATTTAATTTGTAAAAAGAGTAAACAAAAGAAAGAAACCTTGTGGACAAAAAGCTATCTGAGAACAGAGGGATATCCTGACCTTATAAGGATGTACTCTTCGTTTTGTGTGTGAATCACTGCCAAACAATTCAAATTAAGCTCAAGGAATAGATGCATACTGTAAACTGCTACAACCTATAACTGTGCTGTTCAAAACCAGAGAAGATGATCATTTTTGATAGAAACTAAAACACTGTATGCATGATCAATCTCACCGAGAATAGAGCATAGAGGAAACAAAAAAGTCAGTAGTATATCTCACCTCTAAAGACAATCGCAGCTATAGGATCTGGGTTTCCAAGTTTCTTTTTGGGGATCCCACTAGCGGACTCAACAATGACCCGCAGCATTTTTTATTTTTTTTTTATATAAAGTCCAAATTTATTTAGAGAAAGGCATCATATTCCGTTGAGAGAGAAAGGGATCCCGCACACAGGGGGAACTGAAACGCACAGATGTGTAGAGGAGTGGATACCAGAGGGCAGCCTCTCTCATGAGTCACAGAGGCATGAAACAGCACAAAAACACAGCAGGCAGCCCG